CACTTGTTCATTTAATTATATTATAATAGTCGTTATAATCGGTTATAGGATATATTGAAAATCAGATTCATTAATTTGATAATTTTAATGTAGTAATGTAGTAATTTTTTGAAATAGTAAGTGTAACCGTATAGGTTGTGTGTAGAGAGAAAGTCTCCCACTTTGAGGTAATAGATTTTAGCACTCCCAAGTTTATAGTTGAAGACTGAATGTGCGCCTATGCACAAATGGCAAATCACAATTTTTTTACCGCCATATCGGCTTATCAGTGGTGGACGTCGATTTGTTGTGGCTTATCATTTTATCAGTCGTCATGGCGCATGCGTACAACTGTTGACTGTTGCTCGTGTAACGGAGTACGACTATAAAGCGTAATATGTTTTTTAACTGATATATTTTTTAAGACTTTAAAGATAATAGATATACAGGCTTGACAGTGGACACCGGTCAGCAAGCTGTGGTCTACATTTCTTCAGTTCTTTTGGTTGTTCATCAATCGTCGGTGGTCGATGTTCCTGGAGATTGAAAACGGCCATTGCACTCAAGACTCAAGCACACACTCGTCTCCGCTACTTCATCGGTATATAGAACGATAGGGAATCATGAGCAACTACACTATGGACGTCGATGTGGCGAAAGTCGGTTGTCCCGTCCCAAAAATGGACGAAGTTAAAAAAGAGCTCCTCATCAGCATGAACGAACTGTACGCCCGGGGTCTGAAAACCAGCTGCCAGTGGTGAGTGTCTTAATTGTATATTAAGTTGTTTTTGATTTGCGCATCCTTCAAGTCTACTTGACCATTATGTGGCACTGTGCAACCGACTCATCTGAGGATTGGCAGTTGTGAGTTGTTGGTTATTATTTATTTGCGAGGAAACACTTCTATGGGAACAATTCATAAAAGTTGCATCATTTTTTTTTTTTTTATTAATATTATACCTAATATTGATGGCTCTAAAAGGCAATGATTCTGTTTTAATTTATTTTTACTTGTTAAGTTAATTGACTATTGAAAATTGACATTTTAAAATTCTTTCCCTGATACCTTAGTTCAATTCTGATACAAATCTTGCTTTATCCTTTTTTTTTTTTAAGTCATGCATAGCGTAAAACATACTAATTTTATAAGATTATTGAAAATTAAACATAATATAATATTATTTAATAAAAACTAATAGTTGTTACCTATTACCCATTGAAAAAAGTGACTTTAAAATTACTGATTTTTGTGATTTTTTTTAAACTTATTAACACTAAGCTTTATTATATAATATTATATATACCTATAAATATTTTTATTTTTTTTTGTTTACGGCTAGGTCTTCAGATCTTCTTCTATCACTTGAGGTCGGCAACAATTCAAAACCTTTACCAAAAAAAATCGAAGGGTACAAGAGACCAAAAGTCACCCGTAGCTGTCTAATCTCTGTATCCAAACGTATGTCGGTTTCAAAATCAACAGATTTATATTCCATAGACCAGCTTCCAATACCATATCACGAAATGGAACGATATCTTCATGCACGAGCCTGTTACAATGCGAAAGAATATCAAAGGTATTTCATGCGTTTAAAATTTAAAATCCAAAATCTACATATTATATTCTATTATGTAGCTGAAACACAATTTATTTTCAGAGCTTCATTTTGGTTGAAAAAATGTCATTCAAATATACCATTATTCCTGAGAATGTATTCAGATTATTTGGCTGCTGACAGTAATATTAAAAATATTGGAAGTGAAGCAACACCTTCCATGTTCAAAGAATATCGACATTTTTTAGAATATTTATCTGAGCTATTAGAGTCTATACGACAACAAAAAAGGGGGGATGGGTATTTGACATATTTACTTGGTATGGTATATGTGAAATTAGAACAATACACGGCAGCTGTTAATATGCTAGTGGAATCCATAAAAGAGGTGCCACTCAATTGGCATGCATGGATGCAACTTGGTGATCTTATTGTAGATCGAGTTAAGGTGAACAAAATAAAATAAATCATCTATAAACCAGTTTGTTTTCAAACAATAAATATTTTTATTGTTTCAGTTATCAAAGCTAGAGTTACCCAATCACTGGATGAAAAACTTCTTCTACTGTCAAAAATATTTGGACTTGCAGTTAAACGAACAGATGTTGGGAATGACACAGTATTTGTTCAACTGTGGTTTTAGCGACAGCATATTTCTCCAATCTAGGGTGGCAGTATGCTACCATAACAAAAGATGTAAGTATAAGACATCATTACTGTATAGCTAATATGTGCTAATTAATATTTAATGTGTTATAGACATTGAAATAGCAGTTCAAAAATTTCAAGAGCTCATTGAGATTGAACCTTGTCGGCTGGAAAATATGGATACCTATTCAAATTTATTATATGTGCAACATCAGCGAGTTGAATTAGCTTATCTTGCTCAGCGAGCAGTTAAAATTGATAAATATCGTGTGGAAACCTGTTGTATTTTGGGCAACTATTATAGTCTTCACGGGGAACATCAAAAAGCAATGCGTTACTTTCATCGCGCCCTTAAATTGAATCCTCTATACTTGGCTGCCTGGACACTACTTGGTCAAGAATATATGGAGCTTAAAAATTCAAATGATGCCATACAAAGTTACAGCAAAGCTTTGGGTATGTTTCTTAATACCTAATCATTATTATGTTTATAGATTATTAAAATATAGTTAATTTCATGATTTTGGTACAGAAATAAACAAATATGAGTACAGAGCGTGGTATGGTTTGGGTCAAACTTATGAAATACTTGGTATGTTTAAACACAGCCTTTATTTTTTCAAGCAGGCTCAGTTGCTGAGACCGTTTGACAGCCGTATGATAATTGCTGTTGGCAATGTATATGAGAAATTAGGTAATGTAGATATGGCATTTCAAAGCTACCTAAAAGGACGAGCGATGGGTGACGATGAAAAGCTCGGTCTCATATACTTAGCAAAGTGAGTTTAAACTACATTATGTTGCTGACTGTTTCCTTATACGTTGATGCAATTTTTTTTCTTCAGATTGTACGTAGTTATAAATAGACCGAATGATGCTGCAAAAATGTTTTTAGAATACATTGAAGAACACGGACTAGATGAACAGACTCGTGATCACAGCTATGCTTATATGTTTCTTGCAAATTACAATCTGTCTCGTATGAACTATGATCAAGCTTTTTATTATGCACAAAAATGTTTAAACTATGCAGAAACCAAAGAAGAAGCTAAAGCGTTATTAAAAACTATAGTTCATGAAAGAGTATTCATGGAAATTGATAACTTCATATCGGGCACTTCGATGAGTGAGAAACAATCCAAGGATTACGATAAAGAAGAAATGCCCAGACAGTTAGAATTATTGTCACTTACTCAAACATCTGAAGTCAATCAAAATGAAGATGATGACGATGACAATACCGATGAAGAAGAACACTTGTGTAATTCAATATCAAGGTATATGAATTTGGTGGATTACAGTGAATTAAATATTGATTAAGAGYTAAAATTAWTTAAAGTTAGTRAAATACTATAAACTTGTGAAATAGATTATTTTAATGTTTTAATTTTTATAAAGATTAATTTAGTTTCAATTAAAAATAAGATTATGACCACTGAATTTTTTTAATAATCTTTATTTCATGCAAATAAGACTGATTATTTATTTAAGCTTAATGAGTATTATTTAATGTTATAAGTGAAAATTTTTGTACATTCCTATTTTTAATTAAATTTATAATATTTGAATTTAATCTTTTCTAATAATTTTAGCACATATTTTTATTATTACATCAAACAAATAAGTAATAATATCAATAAAATCTTCCGACATGCTCTAAAGTCTAGATAGATAATATTCTTGCCTCTAAATTTTATTAGAGGTAATTTCAATCTAATTTTAGAAATTGCCAAATAATATGTWTTAATATGTAGGTAACTAATGGCCGTCTRGTATTTTCTTACATTTTAAAGTAATGTGAATTCAAATATTGATGGYATTTGATTTAAATGCTTATGAGTGTTACCTGTTTGCTTTTAGATCAAATTAAACTGTGATTTATTTGGCCATCACATATAACCTAACCTTTGTTTGATATAAAGTGTGAATTATATTTGATGGAAATTTTAAAATAAAAGGCCAACAAAAAAATGAATGAAAGGAACAATTTTTTATTAACTAGCAGCTAAAGTGATGTGAAAAATATTTGAAAATTAGATAAATTTAAATATATTTTAATATTTAAACCCCGTTTTATTACAATATGTACCCTACWGTAAACGCACCAAATAAATTTACAAATGCAAATTATTTTATTCACACAAGTTTGGAGACGTTGGCTTTGTTGTTAAAGGTCTCCGTCGTATTTAGGTTATGTACACGCCGTTTAGTTCAGAGGCTCATATAACCTGTGGTCCGCAGCCTTCTCGGGGGTCCGTGACAGCCTTTCACAGCTTTAACGCATAATAAACGTCAATACGTGACAACTGACAAGAGTGCATTATTGTTACAGTATTGTTGGATTATTATTATTTTTATTTTGTGTTATAGGTGTATGTTAGGTGGTATTTACACACAAACACCATACGAGTGTCGTTTGATAAAAATATCACCATGAATCTATATATTATATGTCTGTGACACTGACACACGCACATTGAATTGGACTTTACGTCTGTACCTCATTAGGTTAGGTTAGGTACGCATGATTTTGTACAATATGGTGTACCCAATAGTTACTGCGTTATAATAGTGGGCGACCTAACCAAAAGTACCTTTTTTATACCAATTCTCCCAAACTACCTTGAGCAAAATGTACCAGTTGCCCTCACGTGTTAACATATATACAAGATTACAATATGAAGCCTGTAAAATATRAGAGGTAAATATATAAATAATAAATACAATTATTTATGAAAATAATGTAAAATAGTATAAAATGATAAAATCAAATTTTGATATTTGCAATTATATATGATATTGTATTTTGCAATAAATAATAAATATAACATATTATAGAAATAGTGTGGATAAAATAAAAATTATATTAATAATAATAGCCTACTTCTATAGGTGCAAAGCCAGGATTTTATAAAAACGCATAAATTTAGACGC